CAGTCAGCTCCAGGTCTTGTTTTTGCTGACTGTATAGAGCTTCTCCATCTTTGGCTGCAGAGAATATAATCAATCTGATTTCGATATTGCCCATCTGGTGATTTCCATGTATAGAGTCGCCTCTTGTGTTGTTGGAAAAGAGTGTTTGTGATGACCATCTTGTTCTCTTGACAAAACTGTATTAGCCTTTGTCCTGCTTCATTCTGAATTCCAAGGCCAAACTTCCCTGTTGTTCCTTTTATGTCTTGGATCCCTACTTTCGCATTCCAGTCCCCTAGAATGAGAAGAACATCTTTCTTTGGTGGCAGTTCCAGAAGATGTTGTAAATCTTCATAAAATTGTTCAATTTCAGTCTCCTCAGCAATGGTGGTTGGTGCATAAACTTGGATTATTGTGATGTTGAAAGGTCTGCCTTGGATTCATATTGACATCATTCTATCATTTTTGAGATTGTATCCCATTACAGCTTTTCCCACTCTCTTGTTGACTATGAAGGCTACTTCATTCCTTCTACGGGATTCTTGCCCACAATAGTAGATATGATAATAATCTGAGCTGAATTCGCCCATTCCTGTCCATTTTAGTTCACTGACACCCAGGATGTTTCTTCTTGCCATCTCCTGTTTGACCACATACAGACATCCAGCTTACCAAGGTTCATAGATCTTACATTCCAGGTTCCTATGCGGTATTTTTGTTTGCAGCATCAGACTTTCCTTTCACTTCCACTCATGTCCACAGCTGAGCATCCTTTTGGCTTTGACCCAACCACTCTATTAGCTCGGGAACTACTTGTCCTTGTCCTCCACTTTTCCTCAGTTGCATGTTGGACGTCTTCTGACCTGAGGGGCTCATCTTCCAGCGTCATATCTTTTAGCCTTTTGTTTCTGTTTATGGAGTTTTCTAGGCGCATTTCCTGCTCCAGGTGGATCGCGTTTAGTCCGACCCCCCCACTATGACCTGTCCGTCTTGGGTGTCCCTGCACAGCACAGTCCATAGCTTCTCTGAATTACTCAAGCCCCTTCGCCACGACAAGGCAGCGATCCATGAAGGGGTAATAAGAGGTTTACTATGCTTCAAACAAATGCAATTAGTGGGGTTTCTTTTCTTTTCTTTCTTTCTTTTTGAGATAGTAGCTGACCAGCAGCCCCTTGAATATTGTACTGAAATAAAATCTAGGCAATATCAGAAGCTCTGAAACCTTGGGAAGGGAAAGATGATAACATGGCAGCTGGAGCTTGGAAGGACAGAGGTGCCAGTAGCCATACATTTTGGAAGAAGAGGATAGTGCATATTAGACTGTTGAAGAGAAAAAGGGATGAAGAGAAAGCTGGGTACATTAGGGATAACTAGGTGCTGATATGATCATGTAGTAAGTTATCAAACAGCAGGAGGCAGCTTTACTGGCCAGTGGACTCTTCTGAGCAGAAAGCAATATACAAGGGCCAAAAGTTACTGTATGAAAGCAATACAGTGCACAACTTACTATAATGCCCCCCAATAATGTTTTATCATTATATGTTAACATTGTTTGAAGAACAAAATTGATAACTTGCTGCATTATTTGTTGTGTTTCTTGTTGACATTTTTGTTACTTTTTTTAAAAAAAGTTTCAAGGCTTGATATTCTTCATATGTGAAGTTCAAAAATAATTAAGGAGTGTAAAAACAGCAGCCTTGAAAATCTACATGATGCTTAAGAAAATAAGTCTGAACAGCAGCATACTAAATTTCTCTTTCCTAGCAAGCTAACACTTGAGCATGAACATGTAAATATTAAAAAGAAAAGTGAAACACAGGAAAAGTTCTAGATCATTAGACTCCTAGAGCACTATGATACAGGTATAGCAAAGTCCTAGATCAGGGGTCTCCAAACTACAGCTGGAGGTCACATCCGGCCCACCTTGCTGCTTTATCCAGCCGTTCCCTTCAGCCATGTTCCTGTTCCTTTGGCCCTCAAATTTGTGTATAAATTTGATTCCCTATCTAGAGTACTAATTGCATTCAAAGGTAAGTTTAAATAACATAGCCTGCAAGAAGCCTGTGGATTTTTCTTTATAGAAATTGATAAACTAACACCTGCTAAGGGCTTTCCTTTCATTTTTAGGTATTTGTGGTCCATCTTCATTAGTAAAACCCACTGGTCCAGAGCAGGCAAATCACTTTCCCTCTGTTCTCAGTTTTGGTATGTATGCTTTTCATAAAGTACTGTACTATATTTCTGTTTTCTGTTAATGATGAAGACATAGGACTGTTGATGATTTTTGTTTGAAGGTTTATTTTTTCTTCGAGGGGTTTGTATTGATTAGTACTGAAAATCAAATCACTAGTGAAGTTATAGTAGATTCAGAGGGGGGAAATTCTAAGGGTATTTCCAATTATTTTGAAACACTAAGAAAAACCCCTGCTGGGCTGTTCACTGTGCTGACCAACAGCAAGACTTCCTGTCACATAATGCACAGAGTAACATATCTGTTGCAGAGTGTAGCAGTTACCTGTTCTGTTTGTTAGCAAAATTGATTAAGAATGGAACATTGTAAGAATGGAACCAATGAATGCAGAGGGAAGTGTAAAAGACACAGTGAAGGATTTTACCAAGAAACATTCATTCTACTTAAGCTCTGTTTTGACAGAATCTGTGCAGTGCAGTGCAGTGAGTCCCAACCTTTTTGACACCAGGGACCGGTTTAGTTGAAGACCATTCTCCCAAGGATCGGGGTGATATTCGTGGCGGGCAGGAGGTGAGCTGCAATTGCAGCTCCACCTCCTGTTAGATCAGCAGCAGCCTAGAACCTAATAGGAGCGCAGGCTCCTATGAGACTCTAATGCCACAGGCACAGCTGATCTGGTAGCAGCAGGAGGGGGAGCAAGGAGCGAAGCTCCGCCTCCTGTCAGATCAACATCGGCATTAGAACCTCATAGGAAGGCGCTGACAGGAGGCGGAGCTTCGCTTGCCACTCATCTGTCCTGGTAGCCTGGTCCTTCCAAGGCCATGGATCAGTACTGGTCTGTGGCCCAGGGGTTGGGAATCCCTGGTGTAGTGGATAGTGACCAAGTAGGATTCAGGAGACTTGGATCAAAAACTCACTCAGCCATGGAAGCTCACTAGGGGGCGTAGAACTGGTAATCCACTCCTTAAATACCCCACTTACCTTAAAAGCCTTATTAGGGTTGTTGTCAGTTCTGTCTTGACTTGCAAACTTTACAGGCGCTAAGCACCCACAGACGCCCTTTCCTGAAAAACATAACATTAAGCTGTTTTACCCCATCCCAATTTTTGCAAGTGAAAGCTCTTAAAATGCCCTGTGCCCAGACAATATGCCAGATGGACAGCACTAACACACATCACATAGCTTCTACCGTGTTTTCTTGAAAATAAGACAGGGTCTTATATTAATTTTTGCTCCAAAAATGCATTAGGGCTTATTTTCAGGGGATTTTTATTTTTTTTTAATGTACAACAATCTACATTTATTCAAACACAGTCATGTCATCTTCTTTTGGTTGCTGCACAATAGGAGAGGGTGGGGTTTCACTTAACAGGCTTATTTTGGGGGTAGGGCTTATATTACGAGCATCCTGAAAAATCATACTATGGCTTATTTTCAGGTTAAGTTCTTATTTTGGGGAAAACAGGGTAGATGTTAGTGATGTGCTTCTTGCTCTACTAGATTCAAACAAGATGTTGATGTGATTCTCCTTAGGTCATGAAAAAATGCTTAAGGGCATTGGAATGAAGAATTTTGAAACTACTTATTCTAGAGTAGTTGCATTCTCTTCCAAAAGGCCGCTCCCGGATGAGTGATCCTAAGAATATGGTACATGTGTTTACACTGTAGATTCACTTAGCTAAATTAGCCAGATTGTCTGCTTATGTGATTTTTATGTGTAAACTTTAAAATACTGTTTCACATTATGGTTGTTTAAGAATTATATGTCAAGTTCATTTAAAATTGCAACAGCAACACGTAATATTCTTTTCTGTGTGTTCCAGGCTTTGCTAACCGATTTTCAAAACCCAAAGGACCAAGAGATCCTCCGGCAAATTGGAACGTTTAGTAGAACTTCATAGATGCCCTTGTTTCTGCTACCGCAGGCTTATCTTGCTATTCAACCTTTGGTTGCTCAATGTCGTTTGCAACAGGACAATGATTTTGAACAAAAAAGTCTTTCTTGTAATGCCAAAAGACAGGAGAGTCTGTTTCCCTCAGAGACTGTATGCAATACCACCTTATCTATTCAGGGGAACTGGACTGCATCCAGAATAAATGGGATAACTGTGTTAGTTCCTGGTTCTTTTGAAGCAGCAATCATGTCCAGTTTGATAAAATGGAAGCAAGTGCTGGAGATCAAACTTTCCCAGAAGCCACAGCTTCTTAACCTGGAAATGCTTCCCTCCCAGAATTTGTAAAGTGTAGTTACAAGCAATGATGTGGCTCAGCTTAGTAATGAAAGAGTTGCACTGTTGCTGTATTTATTAGTCATTCATAGATTTCAAGTATATATCTGAAATGCAAATATGAGCCCTTAGGCTTATTCTGGAAGGAATGAATCTGTTACAGGAGACACTCTTTGCATGAATGTAGTGGGTATGAGGGAATGGCTGGTGAACACCTCTGTGCTTTTGCTACACTGTTACTGTGTCCGGTGTGCAAACTGTGCAGCCACTAAGCACCCACAGATGTCCTTTGCTGAAATATCAACAAACAGACACATTTGGCTGCTTCCTTTTAAAATAGAATATATTTTTCCTACAAATGACAACTGTAATTTCCCAACCTATAGATGGTTCTGGTTTTTGGAAATAATTCTTGACAACCTGAGTAGCTCTGTAGATGTTTTCCCAATGTTCATAACTGGGAGTCCATTATATATTCCCTCAGTATTCATGTTTTAGCCACCATTTTTTCAGATTGTAAAACGGGCCAAGATTGAACCTATTTAGAGGATTTTCTTATTTGCCTTTTCACTGCTCATCGTTGAGATTTACTACAATGAAATCATGAGTTAGAACTTTGGGACCAAAATAGGTTAATGTCTCTCAGTAGTATGCCAGTGGTGGCTAAAGGAGGAGGCATTTGCATTGTAGACGCACACTCAAATAAGTGAGAGAAGTTAAATGGTAGAGGGGAAAGCAAAGACAGGTGAAAAATCAGATAAAACTGACCACTAGCCTTTACTTTTAGAAAAACAGTAACTTGAAAAGTTATTACTAGAATTTAAACACATTCTAGAGCCTTTACTGAAATGTCAATGTGGGAGATGTAATTAAAATTAAATATTTATTTCATATGCCAGCCGACTTGTATAGACTACATTTCTGCAAAATTGAAGGGCAGAACGTATCTTGTATTTGTCACATATATGCATCTACTGTTGACAATGTACAAAAAAGAGAGAGAAAAGAGGTTACTTAACTTTCAATGACATACTTCTTGATTTGCCAATTTCTATAGTTTCTCTGTACTAAGATGCCAGACTCTGACAGATAAAGGCCTAGTTTCCATTTAAAAGAAAAAAATTAAGTCAGCCATGTAGGTCAAGGACTAATTTGAATTACAAAAACAGTGAATCAGAGAATGCAGATTAGGTTGTATATGTGAAAATCTTTAGGCAGGTTATTCAATTTGGGGTATATTTACTTTGTTCTCATACCACAGGCTTTAACATGTACTTATAACATGAATGTTGCTACCACTGTTTGTAACATCTCCCAGTGAAAGCATTTCTGAACTGCCTCCGGATAAAAAGGATGCTATCTTCAAGAAACTGCCAGACAAGAGAATGGGGCCCCAACAGCATATGAGAGCACTTTTGACAGAAAAATGTTTACGCCATCCTTCCAGTGTTTATATACGAATCAGAGCATTTACTCATGTGGCAGGAGTAAATTGCTTCAAGTGGCAGAGGCTGCAAGTGAGCAGCAAAGTCTTGGGAGAGAGAACTGTGTGTAATGCAGCCTGCTCTGTGCCCCCTAAGATAGCCTGGTGTATTCTTGAAGGCTTTCATGGCCGGGATCCAATCATTGTAGGTTTCTCGGGCTGTTTGGCCGTGTTCTGGAGGTTCTTCCTCCTAATGTTTCACCAGTGGCTGGCATCTTCAGAAATGTTAGGAAGAAAAACCTCCAGAACACTACAACCACCATAGCCCGATGTCCTCAGATGCAGGGGAGAACGATGACCCATTATCAGCACTGCAGAAATGTTCAGCTGGTGTTTTGTTTTCTTTATATGAAACATGTGGGGCACTATCTTGTTCTTCGCCTCAAAAACAGAAAATATCTAACCACGACTAGTGACAAACTACAGTATTTTGTTGTAGACTATAGTGTATTAGTGATCTTCTAGAAGATTATGACTGCATGACTTCAGATTTAGTTGAACATGGACAAAGACTTACTGCACATACATTGCTCCCACAAAGTGATGTGGGAGCTGTTCTCTGTGGTGTGATATACAGAAGTTATGTTGTGTCCGGATGCTCCAACCATGTAGGTATGGCTAAGCACCTGTGTTTCATTTATCTAGTCAGCATTCTCCCTTGACAGGAAAATCAGATGAAAGAGTAACATAATTGTTATTATCCACATAGTTCATATAGTCAAATACTGTACAATAAGCAGTGGCATGAAATCTCCTTACAAGAAGCCACTATCCCACTTCTGTATATATGAAGATGGCTAACATACCTGTAGAAACACAGTCTTTGCAATTATGTAAACCTCATTCAGTTTGACCAGATACCATAGAATACTTTAATTACTGTGCAGTTTAATGGAACTGAAATGAAACAGAATGTGTGTTGGATCTGGCAGTAGAATCACATTCATCTTCATTAGAAAGCAGAACATAGGTAAAGGTAAATGTTCCCCTTGACACTTAATCCAGTCGTGTCCGACTCTAGGGTGCAGTGCTCATCCCCATTTCCAAGCCATAGAGCCAGCATTTGTCCGCAGACACTTTCCGTGGTCACATGGCTAGCACGACTAGACACAGAACGCCGTTACCTTCCCACCGTCGTGGTACCTATTTATCTACTTGCATTTTTACATGCTTTCGAACTGCTAGGTTAGCAGGAGCTGGGACAATCAATGGGAGCTCACTCCGTCGCGAGGATTCAATCTTACGACTGCTGGTCTTCCAACCTTACAGCACAAAGGCTTCTGCGGTTTAACCCACAACCCCACCACGTCCCTTTTAGAAAGCAGAACATACATGAGTGAAATGTATCTTCCCTTCCATGGCTCTACAGTGCTACTGCACTGAACCTGTGGCCTGGCCTGCTCTTTTAAGGGGTTTCTTCAATCAGCTTCCCTCTGACTGTGCAAAAACAATGGGAAACACTAAGAAAAGATATCATAAAGCAATGAAAGTATAATGTATCTTTCATCCATTCAGAAAGATCCAAACCAAGCAGATGCTAATAGGAAACATTGTACTCAAACAACAGAGTGCTTGCCAACTGCTTCAGTACTCTGTCCAAATCATGATTTTCTTAATTACTCAGTTCATAAACAAGCTGCATTTTTAATTTTGCCATGAAGGATTTACTGTAATTAAAAACAAACATGCTTAACTGTGTTATTTTTAACAAAAGAAACTGAGTTAGATGCAGATTTAGGAATACTCAAATAGCTTTTATTTTTGTGCGAGACTGTATGTTTTCTTTGAAGCATGCTTTTAGGTAAACGGATCACCAAAAGAAAGTACAATTTCTTATAAATGTCTAGTAATATTCTCTGTATACTAGTCCATTTTCTCTTCATTTGAAGTATGGCCTCTTTGTACTAAATTGCACAATAATTTTTATACAGATCCCATTTTCTACATTCACTAAATTTTAAAATCCTTCTTATAAGTTGGTGTATCTGGAGCTTTCCTTTCCCAGCTGCAAAAGGTCATCATCCTTTTGTTAGCATCAGTATCTGACATCATAGTGTGGATCCTTGGCAAAGTTGTGTTGCTTTGCCAACTGAAGACCACAGTTCTCAAGAAAGTACCTAATGCAAACGCCTTCTTTATATACAGTATAGAAAATACAAATGAAACAGGAAATTTATTTAGGTCTGTCTGGTTACTAGGCAACATTCCCTATTGTTGTGACCTTGTTTGCACAGAAGGCTTTCTGAAAGTATCCAGATTGCTCTTTCTGGAAGAGTGGCGATTTTGGGTTGCTAAGTCAGCAACATCTTGTTCCCAAACATTTCAGGGCCAAAACCTGAAGTGTTAGGGGTAGGTCCTTGTGATGTCATGGGTGTGGATATCCATCAGCAGTTATTTCAAAATAATAGCTAGAAACTAATTTGTGCTTGTGTAACCTTCAGCAGCGGATGAAGTTAATTGATGAGGTACCTGAGCTTCAGTCATGGACCTGGTCATACATCCCACTCTGCAACTGAGGTGTCTCAGCACCTCATTAATTAGCTGTAATTAGCCATGGCAAGTCAAGTCCAACTTTGCATGGACACCAAAAGGATTCCAGATGGGCAATATAGTCTCTGTGATGAACCTAAAAGTTAATGGGTGAATTTCAGCAGCACCCGCTTCATAGTATGTAACCCCCCCCCCAAGAATCACACACACTCTGCTTCTGTGTATCTCTAAGTGGCACATCCTAAACCTAAGAGAATGAACAATCTCCTCTTAGTACTGCAACATTTTCAGTTCATATTTACAAGAAATGGAACACTCCAAACACGTTTTTTCTTTAAAAAAAAAATCAATACCATTAAGCATTCTTAAGATGGTTAGTCAGTTGTGCATCCCTTCTTGTTCAATGTTGTGTACTCTTAACTAACCATTGAATTTTAGCTTGGATCCCTGAGTAAGCAATCCCATGGGATTAGTCGCAGTACTACAGTACCATACATTGTCACCTAAGTTTTGAAATACCATAAAAATACAATATTAAAAACAATTAAACATATATCAAGAGTAAAATTAAGAGTTAAAAAAATTAAAACATTTTAAAAAGCATTTAAAATCTCTAAGCAAAGCATTCTTGAGATACTTTTTACTTAAAAATGCACCTGAAAAGGAAAAAAGAAAATAAAAAAGCATAGAAACATTGTGGCATCTTAAAGACTAACTGCTATAATGTGAACTTTCGTGGACAAGTTCCCTTCCTGACTTCCTTAGTCTTGAAGGTGTTACAATGTTTTTGTCTTCATTTTTTTTCCTTTTTGCCTGCTTTGCCACCACAGACTAATGTGTCTACCTCTTCTAAAACACCTGAAAAGGAATGTTGTGGGCCAGATAGGCTAATTATTAGTACTGAAAGAACTTATTAGAAATTCCCATTCCGGTTCTCAAAATGCACATTTTGATGCCGAGAACCTCTGAAACATCTTCTGAAAACTTAAGTATTTGATATGGGTGAAACACAGAATATTTTATTTCCATGATAATTTCCACTCTTTGGGGGTTGATATACTATGGTATTTGTTAAATTACAACTTTATGTCTCAAGAAAATATTTCTTTGATCACAGATTTTCAATTTTCCCCATACAGTTTGAAAGATGATGATGATGATGATGATTCATCAGGTCAATCTTGACTTACGGTGACCCTTTTTCAGGGTTTTCCAGGTACAGAAAACTGAACAGTGGCTTACCATTCACTTTTTCTGGGGGCACTCCGGTACTGTTTGGGCTGCTCAAGGCTACACAGGCTAGTTCTTCTCCTAGGAGGGCACAGTGGGGAATTGAACTCCCAAACTCTGGCCCTGCAGCCAGATACCTAAACCACTGAGCTATCCAACCAGCTCATATGACTTGAAAACCTTCCTAGGGTCACTCTAAGTTGGAAGCCACCTGACAGCATGTAATAGTGCTGAGATATGTAGTTCTTCTAACTTACCTATGTCATAGGTTACTTATAGTACAGTGGTGCCTCGCAAGACGAGCGCTCCATTTTACGACAAAATTGCATTACGACGAAGTTTTTACAATCGCAAAATTATTTTTCCTATGAGGGAATTTTGCTTTGCGATGATCGGTTCCCTGTTTCGGGAACCAATTCTTGCAAAATGACGATTTTCCTACAGCTGATTGGCGGTTTCAAAATGGCTGCCGGGTTTAAAAAAAAAAAAGGCTCCCCGCTCTTTTCTGGGATGGATTCCTCACTGCACGGGCAGCAAAAATGGCCACGCTATGGAGGATCTTCGCTGGATGGTGAGTTTCAAGCCCATAGGAACGCATTAATCGGGTTTTAATGCGTTCCTATGGGCTTTTTAATTTCGCTTTACGATGTTTTCGTTCTACAGCGATTTTGCTGGAACAAATTAATATCGTAATGCGAGGCACCATTGTATTTCTTCTTTTGTGGGGGATAATGAACATTCAATTAACAACAGGCATGACCATGTTCCATCTTCGTTCACTGTAATCAGCAGGTATGTCCCTGAACAAACTCAATGTATTCACTTCGGTTTAAGCAATGCAAATTTCTTTTCCTGAACATTTTGCTGTCAAGTCAGAACCGACTTATAGCAATCCTAATAGGGCTTTCAAGGTAAATGAAATATTTAAGGAGTGGTTTTACCAGCTGTACTCCTGCAGAGAGTTTCCATGGCTGAGTGGGGATCTGAGCTCTGGTTCTAGTCCATCACTCTATCTCAGTGGTTCCCAACCGTTTTTGAATCGCAACCCCCTTTTATAATAGCCAAGTAACCTGCGATGTCCTGCCATATTTGAATAAAAAGGCATTTTTAATAGGGTAAAGTCATCCATTCTTGGAAAGTAGAGGCTTCTTTGTCCTGCAAGGGGCCTGTTAACTTTAATATCCCACTCTGAGAGCTCAAGGAAAATAATTATTTAACAAGGGCTACAACAGATATAAGACCTGCAACTCCCTAGAAAACACTTAGCAACTCCCTTGGGGGGGGTCTAAGCCCCCAGGTTGGGAAACACTGTTCTATCCAGTACATCACACTGAACAATAATGACATATGAAGTAATATATTTCTCAGATTGCTACATGGATGAGTTGACATGTATCTGCCAGATTCTAATCCTTTTGCTCTGTTCTTTAGTTACCAACATAGAGCTTCTATAAAATACAAAACTACAGAGCTCCCTCTGACAGTGATTTGCAAAAAGATTTGAGTGACCTAGTTTAGCAGCCTGAACACTGCAGTTGTGTCTTTATGACACAAGTACAATCCGTTCAATTTCAAATGTTTTCTGGAACCAGCTGAGTTACAGCAGAGTTCTGCAGTGCTCTGAGACAGCAGGGTGAGTATCTGCTATGAAGAGAGAAGGAGATTGCTACCCAGGGAAAGCAGAAGACAGACCTGAATATTGACAGTTTCAAGATGAAGAGAATGAACGGCGGCTCTTGCAAAGATATCTAGGACAGAACTTAAAATATGCACAAAATATGCTATTGGATGAAACACAGCTACCATGACATCTGTTACCAGACATCTGTATACAGTACTAATTAGGGGAAAAACATTTCTCCTTGCAGCAAAGATTCTTTTCAAAAACTCCTGGACCAATTTATATGGTACATAACTAGGAAGGAAAGGATCTCCATCAGTAATGACAGATCTTAAAAGCAATATAGCTATATCTATTTGCCAAAGCATATTAGCCTGCACCCCCAAGCTTAACCTCTGTGCTTTTTCTAGTTCTTTCTGGCTATACCTTTACTTACAAGGTTGAGTACTTGAAGCAAAATGTTTTCAATTCCACAGAGATCCATTTGCCCCATCAAAACACATACTGTATTAGACAGCCCACATGTATGAGCCTCTCAAAGCCTAAAATAAACCATACACGATTTATTACCATGGAATGGACCTACACAACTACATAATTATAATAAACTTCTGCTTTAATTATCATGGATTTATCCTACAGAATCTTATGATATGTTACTTGGAGACTTATTTAGACATATGTACAGTGGTGCCTCGCTTAACAGGCGCCCCGTTTAACGATTAAATTGCATAGCGACAAAGATTTTGCGATCGCTTTGGCGATCGCATTGCGATGTTTTAAATAGGGAAAAATCGCTTTGCGATGATCGGTACCGTTTCGCTTACTGATCATCGCAAAGCGACGATTTTTTAACAGCTGATCGGCGGCTCCAAAATGGCCGCAGGGTAAAAAAAATGGCCGCCTGCTGTTTTCCCGGACGGATTCCTCGCTTACTGGGCAGCGAAAATGACTCCCGTATGGAGGATTTTCGTTTAAAGGTGAGTCTGAAGCCCATAGGAATGCATTGAAGGGGTTTCAGTGAATTCCTATGGGCTTTTTTATATTGCATAGAAAAGAAATCGCTTTGTAGCAATTTTTGCTGCACCGATTATCGTCGCTATGTGAGGCACCACTGTACTTCAGTTTGGGAACCAGTACATTAGACCAGCAATTTCTAACTTTGAATCCTCAGATGTTGTACTACAGCTCCCAGAAATCCTGGCTAGGACAGCTAGCAGTTAAGATTTTTGGGAGTTTTAGTTCAAGAATATCTCAAGACCTAAACTTGGGAACCCCAGGGCTTGAAAAATGCACTCGTCCACTCATCTGTGATGAGTGAAAAATGCTGCTAAACAAGTCACAGTTCCCTCCCTGGCTGCCTCTTTCCCCGCCGCCTCTCTCTCTCTCTCTAATCCTGCAGTCCTCCCCTCCCCTCCCATTGCAAAAAGAAAACTACCCTCTTCTCCTGAGAAGATAGTTTGAGCAGTACCTCGGGATATAGCTCTGCAGGAGAATGTAGAGTAGTCCCAGGCTGCAGAATATGGAGATTCCCTGCTCCCAAATTCAAACAAATGAGAACACATCCTGAGATGGGAGGGAACCATGGCTCCTTAACAGGCTAGAAACTTTTGCTTTCAGTTTTGTTTATGCTGGAGACATTCAAAAGAAAGGCATTCTAATACAAGCTTCATGACCCCATAAGCACGCAGGTAATAAAGCAACTCAAATATGAAGGTATAAATCAGTGATTCCCAAACCCAATAAACTGAAAGGCTATAGTCCGGTCATGCTGACTGGTAAAATTTTTGACTGACTGGTGAAACATTCTAAAATTTTTCAAGCACTGATAATCTCCAGGCTTAGGGAGCTGGACAGGGGACAGATTGCATTTGTCTTCAGTGTGGAAGGATTGTCACTCTTGAATTGGCCTTCTCAGACACACTAGACGCTGTTCCAAGTCTTCCATACAGAGCACATTACCATAGTCTTTCAAGACTGAAGGATGCCTAACTAACTAAAAAGAAAAGCACCTTAAAATGCCAGATGTAGGGGAGTGGTATCAGGAGACAGGTTTCCAGTTGTCTTGTGTGTTCCCAAAAGAATCTGGTGAGGCCACTGTGAGATACAGGAAGCTGGACTAGATGGGCCCTTGACCTGACCCAGCAGGGCTCTTCTTATGTTCTTATGATACTTTTGTTTTGAGAGCACTACACTAGAGCTCTCTAGTAGAGACTTTGTCCTTGTCAATTTAAAAATCCCAGGATTCCGCAGGATGTGGCCAAAGCAACTGAAGTGGGATTGAACTGCTGTAACTGTGGAGTTAAGAGAGTTAGAGAGCTGGACCATAAAGAAGGCCAACGGCTGAAGAATTTATGCTTTTGAATTGTGGTGCTGGAGGAGACTCGAGAGTCCCCTGGACTGTAAAGAGAACAACCCTATCCATTTTGAAGGAAATCAACCCTAAGTGTTCACTGGAAGGACAGATCGTGAAGCTGAGGCTCCAATACTTTGGCCATCTCATGAGAAGACTCCCTGGAAATGACCCTGATGTTGGGAAAGTGTGAAGGGCAAGTAGAAGGGGACGACAGAGGATGAGATGGATGGACAGTGTCACCGAAGCAACCGACATGAATTTGACCCAACTCCGGGAGGCAGTGGAAGACAGGAGGGCCTGGCGTGCTCTGGTCCATGGAGTCACCAACAGTCAGGCACGACTCAAGGACTAAACAACAAAACTGCGGAGCGCAGATACTGTTTACACAGACACGTGTTACTTCAAATCCAACAGGGCTCTGACTTCTAATCGGGAACAATAGTTCAGAGTGACAGCCACATTTCCAGTTTCCTATGAAGTGGCTTGGGCGAGTTAACATTATAATAGTCGATTATACTGTTTGTCTTTTAACACCATTTTGAAAAATTAAAAAACTAGAAAAAGGAACAGTAAATCTAAATGCTTGTGCGCCAAAGTTTTAGTAAAAACATCACCAAATAAATAAATCCCCAGCGCTAAAACAAACATCAGCTGGAGTGGAACTCCTGTCCCTTGTTTCCAGTAAAATGGGACAGGCTGTTTACTTAACGATAACTAAAGGCATTCTCCCTGCCGTTCGAAACCAGCTCCTCCTCTTAAGCTACGTATCTACATTTCCCCGCAGACCGGCTCCGCTTAACGTGCGAACTGCGGTTGTCACCCACCCACGCATGTGCCGCTGCTGCCGCTCCCGCCGCTCAGCCTTTCCTCTCGAGCCAGCGGACAAGCCACGTGACTCGGCCGCCCTGCGTGACTCCCTGCACGCGCCACTCCGACGAAAACCAGTCCTTGCCGAAATGGCAACCTTTTTTCCCAGCAAGCTGTGCGAGGCCGAGCATGCGCTTCGTTGCCGAAAACTACAGCTCCCGACGTGCCGGTTTGGACCACATTTCCCAGGAGGTATGAGTTAGCGCTTGCGCAGCGGCTGTTGGCGTTCGGGCCATTTAAATGTGTGTGAGGGAGACGGCGAAATGGCTGCGCAGGTCGCCTCAGTGCGCACCGTGTCTCGGGGCGCGGAAGAGACGCCTTCGCTTCCCCTTGGTGACCGACCTGGCCGCCCGAGGGGTGGAGGGAGGAAGCGGAAGGCCCCCTCAGGAGAGGTCGGAGAGTGCAAGAGGGCGAAGCATGGCCAGCAGCCGCTCCTGGTAGGGCCCTCTCAGGCAGAGACGTTGCCGCCGGCCGCGGTAACTGGCCTCCCGGCAGCTCCCGCCGTGGCTTCCGCCACAGCTGGCCTCTTCACCTTCTCTCCCCTCACCCTTTCCCCCCAGGCCGCGCATTGTGATCGGCGGCATCACCACCGACACCGGCATCGCCCGGACAGTGGCGACTCCGAGCCCGGACGCTCCTCTGGGGATAAACCGCACAAGGGAAGGCGGGGAAGCTTTGGCGACGGGGCGGTCGGGCGGCCCAGCAAGCGAGGTGAGCGAAACGGGAGTTGCTGAGGGGCCTGGGGTCGTGCTTCCCTGGGCTGCCGACTTCAGGGCTGGCCTGGGCAGAAAGCTGGGGTTGCTTTTCTTAGCTGGTGCTTTGCCGAGCCCAACACCCATGAGGTCTATCGTGACCCTCTGTCGGACGTTCTTCTTTTCCCCCAAACATCTCTGGTAGCTTCTCTTCTGAATGTCAACCTTCTTGCTTAGGCTGCCACTGAAAAAATTCACGGAGGGTCGTGAGCTTGGGACAATAACAATGATAGTGCCCGTGGGTAGTACTGGAGCACAAAGGTGAACCTTTCTTATGCAACTTCGAGTTGTCCAGTGATTTTACGGACTGCGGTGCACCTGTCGGAGGGGCTTTGCCGTTTTGCTGTTTTACCAACGTAATGTCCTGTGCTTTGTTGTTACTCTCTTAGCCATCTTTGTTTGCTGTGTGTTTAAGCGCTGCTTTTTCTCCAGATATGAATAATGATGTGTTTAATTGCCACTTTTGTGAAGGAGGAACTGTTGCTCACACTGGTACTACCTGAACTGTTTTGGATTAAGACCATTCCCTAACTTGCTGGTCTTGATTCTAGCAGATGGTAATCCATTCCTTGAAACCTTAGTGCTGTGCAAATAACCTATTGTTTTTGGTTATGACAGTTTTAAAGGAACTGAGGACATGTTTGTAAACCAAAAGAAATGTAAATTCAATAAATAAAGAAAGGAACCAGTACTTTAGACAGAAGAATGCTAAAAATGACTGTTTTATCATGAATGTTCATTCATGGTGGATTGCATAATCTTGCAAAACTATTTTTTAAGTTTTTTTGCTAAAATTATTGCTCTGTGTTACTGTTTTAGCTCCTGATACAAGAGCAAGAGTCCAAAACAAAAACCCAAGAGTACAATACCTGTGTTGGCCAAATAGAAAACTTAAAAAATGTGTGTACCTTCATTAATAGAGTCAAAAGTTTCTTTAAAAAGTTTGGACGCTTCCATGGCCTCCTTGCTCATCTAAGAAAGATATTACACTGGCATGAATATTTGCTCTCAGTGTGGCTTGACTTGACATGTGGACTTTAACAGCAACATAGCCAAATATCTTAGAGTGAGATGGAGAGATAGCTTAATTTACTACAACTCTGTGCATACCTATTAGGAGTATAACCCACCGTGTTCAGCATAAGGATGCATAGAAAAATTCAGATCTAGATTTTAGATTCCCATTTAAAATCCAGAGTGCATCCTGTGTTGTGCTAGCAGAAAATGTTTTGGAAACATTTTGCTGGTGATATCCAGTTGCTAGTGAAAAATTTTGCACAAGTAGTCCTGTTCATAATGGATTGTGGAATAGTTTGTGAAAGTGGAATCACAGTATTGAGTTTAAATTCTGCAAGAATGAAAACTGGACTTTTTCAAGCAGTATGTCAGCACTAGGTATAGTCCCAAGTGTGGTAGATATTAAACGTATATGCTGCTTTGTGCATTGTCAGATATGTGATCCTTTGACTAATTGATGTGACTGGAATAACCGTTAGATAAGAAACAATGATCCATATTTTTGTAGATTAGTATGGCAATGTATTATTTTTAAAGTAGGCCGCCTAGTTTAGTTGTGAAGTGAGTACAGATTTGAGTAAAATAACTTGCTATGTAAATACTCTTATTTTCTGCTAGTGGGATAACTTCATATTTAGTCATGTGAATGTTTGAGATCACTAATCAAATATTAGATCAGTGAATTTATTTATTTTATTTATTTATTTTATTTTTACCTTGCCTCTTTCCTTAAAAAGAACCCAAGGCAGCATACAACAGTGAGTATACAAATACAAAAAAAGTAAATACCATATTAAAAAAACAGCACACAAAAGCGAAACCAAAACACATTCGGAGCAGTAGGGTACAACAACCCATTACTGCATTTAAAACAACCAAATTCAGGCATTGGGTCAGTAAGGAAAAGCTTGTCTGAGGAGAAAGGTCTTTGCTTGCTTGTGGAAGGATAGTAAAATGGGGTCAGCCTGGCATCTTGTGGGAGGGAGTTCCAAAATCTGGGAACAGCAACAGAGAAGGCTCTTGTGACCCCACCAAATGCACATGTGAAGGTTGTGGGACTGATAGAAAGACCTCTCCTGATGATCTTAATACTAGAGCAGGCTCATAAAGGGAAATGCGGTCCTTGAGATAGCTTGGGCCCAAGCCATTTAGGGCTTTATAGGTTGGAACCAGCACCTTGAATTCTGCTTGGAAGTGGATCAGCAGCCAGTGGAGTTGCTATAATAGGGGGATTATGTGATCTCTGTGACCAGTCCCAGTTAGCAATCTGGCTGCTGTGTTTTGGACCTGCTGAAGTTTCTTAACACTTTACAGAGGCAACCTCACATAGAGTGCATTATATTAATCCAGCTGGGATGTAACTAAGGCGTGTGTCACTGTGGCCAGATCAGACCTCCAGGAATGGACACAGCTGCTACACTGTGCAAATGTACTCCTTGCACAGTTGAAACCTGGGCATCCAGGCTCAGAGACAAATCCAGGACCACCTCTAAGCTGCTTGCCTGTGTTTTCAGAGGAAGTATAACCCCATCCAGCACAGGTTGCATCCCTGTTCCTTGATGTGCCTTTTGACTGACCAGGAGCATCTCTGTCTTGCCTGGATTAATTTTCAGTTTATTCACCCTCATCCGGTATATTATGGACACTAGACACTGATCTGGAGCTGAAAATATTATGATGGTAGGAAGAGGGATTTAAGATGACACCTGTAAAATGGCATCTAATTTCAGTCTATTGTAGGCATGTATTTCAACAGAACATTTGCAGGGCTTTCCCTTGCCCCATGCTTTTATCAAGGATTTATTGTAAACTAGCCTTCAGCTGTGAGAATTTTGGAACTGGAAGCACTTATGTACTAAGAAAGCACAAATAAATCTTGGGGATTAATTGTTTCCAACTATGTGTTATTTATTGCTTGAGCCATAGTTGAATAGGAAGGCACCAAGTCTTTGGTTACTCCCTGTTATTTATATATTGATTTTTAAAGATGCTATTGTACTTTTCTTTTGAGAAAGAAGTTCAGAGTAATATTCAGGAATACAGTAAAACAGCCAAAAATCTGAGCAGTAAAATTGAAAGGCTTGAAGCAGTGCCATACACCACTTAAACTATGAATTTAAAATGTATATATTATAAATGCCTGTGCAAATAAAGAGGGGTTTGGTCTGCTACTGAAAAGAATACAAAGTTGGTGCCAGGTAAATTTCCCTGGAGATGGCGTTTCAGTGTCAGGAAGCCATCACATAAAAGTACTCTCTTTTGGACGTTAGTGTGTATATTTTATCAGAGACTGATAAAGAATATTTTCCCATGATGAATTTAGTACCAGAAAAAGAATATTTTACTGCTACCCACTGGCACGTGTAGTAGGCTGGGCCAACATGGAACAGTGCCAGTACTCTAATCCCATTTGCAGCTAACATGCAAGAGTTTGGGCAGCTGTGTAAGTGCCTGATATAGATCTGCTGGTTACCTTTTCCCAATTTGTCAACATAACTGAGGGGAAAAATTATTGCTTATCTACACAACCTAGCAGGATTTTTCTGTCCTTTACATACAATTTAGCTTTCAATGCAAAACTGGAATTCCACATTCATTCTGGCTAGGGTAGTGGTACCCTGAAAAAAACTTAAAGCTGTTGTTAGAGAACACTCTTTTTGCTGGAAAAGACAACAACGTCTTTTGCTGCAGTGCTTTATATTTTATTCAGATTTTAGGATGAATAATACAATTGCTTTTTCATTGTTTCCTATTTGCATAATGAAACTTGGGTTCTCCCACAATTTTGAATGCTACACACATTGTATCTTTACTTGCTCAAGATTTGAAAACCCAAACTTTATTTTTAATCAAAGCTAACAGCTGCACTAGGGATAGGACTCTTTCATATGTATATTTAAATATGGGAGTAACATGCTAAAATATAGTGGTGCCTTGACTTACAAACTGAATTGGTTCTGGAACTGTGGTTGTTACTCGAAATGGTCATACTGTAAGTCGAAGCAGCATTTCCCATAGGAATGCATTGAAATGCAATTAATCTGTTCTGGCCAAAGGAAAAAATCAGGCCCCCCCAATCACTGCACGACGCATTGGAAACGCGATTAATCCATTCCGGCTGAAGGGGGGGGGGAGAAAAGCAAGCAGAATGTGCAAGACCTATCGGAAGTGGGAAAAAAAGCAAAGCAGAAAGCAAGCAAAGCGTGCAAGATCCATCGGAAATGCAAAACAAAAGCAAAGCGGAAAGCAAGCGAAGCGTGCAAGACCCATCGGAAATGCAAAAAAAGCAAAGCAAACAACCCCCCCAAGACCCAGTGGGTAAAAAACAACAACCCCAAAACAAACAAATCTGCAAGACCCATCAAAGCATAGAAACATAATCCCTCCACCCAGCCCAAAACAAAACTGCAAAACCCACCCAGAACAGTTTTTAAAAAACAGAAAGCAGCACCTTACCTTACCAGGCAATCCGAAGCCTCCTCCGATCTCACTCACTCTAACTGTTGGGGCGAAAGAGCTACAAAGAAGCAGCCTCTTCGCCATAATGGTTAGCAATTTGAATTCCCAGCCTTTTCCCCTGCCTTTTTTTGGTTGTAACTTGAATCTCTGGCCGCAAATTTTTTTTGTTTCCAGTTAAGTCTGCTTATGAATTACCTGGAAACCTTGTGGCAGATATGTGGTAGTACCTTTTTTGGTCAACATGAACACTTAAAAGTTCAGAAAGATAAAGTGACATGGAATAGGCTATGACTGTGCTGGAAGCATTCCCAGGGCTCCTGAAATAGTGGGAAAAGGGAAATGTTGAGAAACTATTCCCCACCCCCCCCATTAATGTTGAGAAACTATCCCCCTCTCCTTGAGCAACAGTGTAGCTTTGGAAGCAAGAAGTATGGAGACATTTTTGTGGCAATTCTAACAAAG